TTATTGTGCTGATTTCGTCACATCTAGAGAAACAGTTACTTCTTCTTATATTTGAAGTTACTTTCATTAGAGTAGGACTCTTTTTTTTCACTTCAGGATGTAACTATAATATTGGTTGAGTAGTGCATTTGGCTTTGCTTCTAGGCATGTTTAGTGAAGACTGTATGATTTACTTGCTTATAAACAACCTTAGTGTGGTGGCCTTCTCAAATGCTGGTTGTAATAATGGTGTACTGAGCGGGTGAGCAGGCTCACAGCCTCCTAGATAGCCAGGGTAGCATGGGTGATAGTAGTAGCAGAGGTTGCAAGATGCTCACTCGTCTCCTTCCCAAGCACTATGCATTTGTGTCAGCAGATGTTGTAATGAGCTGTTTGGGTCGACCTCTGGGCCAATAGATGGCACTTGCTGGTGACAGCCAGCTGCTGTGGGAGCAGTAGGGTTTACGTTTTATCTTTGCTAAATAGGAGAAGAATTTGGGTGTCCCGGGGGATGGAATAGGCTGTAGAACTCTCAGTGGTCTGTGTTCTGCACTCTGCTTCTTAGGCAGTGAAGGTGAAACTGGTGAAGGTGGGCCAGGTAAGTTCACACTCAGGCCTTCTAGAGGTAGGCACAAGCACTGGTCCCAATGGGGTTTGTTGGGCAGTCCTCAGGCCTCCAGAAAAGCACCCAGCAAGGAATGGAGCAATTGCTGCTATGCCAAAGACATAGCAAGGAGGTGCAGCTCCACCTGATCAGCCTAGAAAGCGGCAGTGTTCTCAAGCTTCAGACCCAGCAGGTCTCACTTGGCTTATGGCTTAACCTCAGCACCAAGTCTGGACCATTAACCAAGTCAGACACAGTTTGGTTTCAGTCAGTAAAACTACTGTCCCAGGCCATAAAACTCACTGCCTAGCCCAATACCACACCTCCTAGGCAAATATCCATCTGCTCTGGTCCCATTAAGGGGTGAGGAGTTTGCCAGTTGGAGTCTATGCAGCTGGGGCCCATGCCACACCTATATCTCAGGTCTGGCTATAGGGGACCCTCCCCTGCTCTAAATCAAATTGCCAAATTCTCTCCTGAGACTCTCCAAACCAGTGACTGCTGCCCCTGCCAGCTGGAAGGTTACTGTGAATTCCTCTATGAGCTATGTTCAGGAATGGCATTCTTCTATTGGTGTGCATATCTGTGGGAGAACCTGAAGAGCATATCACAGGGCAATTCCTTCTTCCAGTCTCCCAGTTGCTCCCAAAGTCATATTCAGGGCCTGGTAGGGTCAAGGATCTCTGTCATGGATTTCCTGGCTTTTCAGTGGGAATGGGTATCAAGACAATACTGTCTCCCCATATCATGCACTGTGGATTCATGCATAGTTTTCCACTGGACCCCACCATGTAGGCTTCTGCTTGCCTTATTTTTTCTAGTATCTGAAGTTTTCTTTCATTTTTCTGTTGAACTGACAAGCTCCTTCTTGTATAAAAGCTCACAGTGTGAACCTCTACAAACTATTTTGCTATTTCCAAGCAGGTGCAGCAAGCTGGCAAAGCCTCTATTCTGCCTTCTTAGAAAAAAACCTGAAGAATGTCTTTTAATATTTAATTCAAGAAAGTTCTCATAGCAACAAATTCTCTCAATTTTTGTTCATCTGAGAAAGTCTTTATTTCTCCTTCACTTTTGAAAGATAATTTCATAGGTTCCTGAATTATAGGTGAATGATTTTTTCCTCCCAATGCTTTTTATATTTCACTTTCTTCTTGCTAGCATGGCTTCTGTGGATAAGTTGGATGTAATTCTTTTCTTTCCTCCTCTAGAAGGTAAGGTTTTATCCCCCCACCAGACATTTTCAAAAGTTTTTCTTTATCATTGTTTCCATAATTTAAATATAATGCACCCAGGTATAGCATTTTAAAATTTATTTTGCATGTTGCTCTCTGAGATCCGTAGATCAATGGTTTGGTGTCTAACATTAATTTGGGGAATTTTTAGTCATTCTTGCTTCAAATATTTCTTCTCATCTTCTTTTAATTTGTCTTCTGATATTCTTATTAAGCAAAAGTTACACCTTTTACAGTTGTCGCATAGATCCGGGATAGTCTGTTCCATTTTTTTTTCAACTTTTTTCTCCTTGCCCTTCAGTCTTTAAATTTTCTGTAAAGACATACTCAAGGTCAGAAAAACTTTCTCCAGCCATCTTCAGTCTACTGTGAGCCACCAAAAACATTCTCCATTTCTTTAACAGTGTTTTTAATGCCTAGAATTTCATTGTTTTTTTTTCTTAGAATTTCTATCTCTCTGCTTTTATTACCTATCTGTTATGCATATAACAGATATGCATAACAGATAGGTAATGACAGACATGAATGCTGTCTACTTTATTTATTAGCATCCATAAAATATTAATTGTAGTTACTTCAAACTTCCAGTTGTTCACATTGAGAAAATGGAGGTGAAATTTTTTTTAATTCCCCATTGTTAATTCCAATTTCTTATCACACCGGGTTGAATCCTAATGAATGTTATGTTAGTTCAACAATGTATTTGCCTTTTAGTATGTCTTATAATTTTCTCAATAGGCATAATAAACTTGGTAAAAGGAAATATGGTAATTAGTAAGAAGTGTTGTAATAAAGTGTGGGGGGATTTGAGGCTGGAATTGGGAAGGTGAAAAAAAGCTGAGGAAAAAAATTCTAAGAAGGCTAGCAGGGAAAGGACTGGATCTGGAACCACTGACTTAAGTTTAGTGACAGACCAAAGTATATAAAAGCCCAGGTGAGCCAGGAAGAGAGAGCAGCATCAGGCACACACACACAGCTTGGTAGGTAACGGCAGCAGTTCCCAGAAAAAGGCTGAAGTTTCAGAGTAAAAAAGTCTAGGCCCAGGAAGCTCAGTCTGTTCTTGTACAACCTGCTAAGAGTCTGGGTGCTACTGAGCCAGTTAACCATGCAGAGCAAAGCCAGCTCAATGAAATGCCTTCCGAAATGATCATGTAACAACACAGTTGTGAATGGCTTTGAGGTGTTTTGCAAGAAAACTTAAAGGAGGATCTTCAGCATCCAGGAGAAGCAGGTACTGGGATCTGAAGGACTGCCAGGTGAGAGTTCCTACTCTTGACTAGTTCTGTACTTTCTATTGGTTGCCCTCAAGCTGATAACCAATCAGAATCACTGCTCCCAGGGCCCTACTTTGAAATCTCATTGGCTGCCCACACTCAGTCCGTACTCTCCTATTGCTGGTGCCAAAAGTTTGAACTTTTTATTTGTAACTTGCTGTTATCGAAATGTGTATTCTGTTGCTGCTGGATGGAATGTTCCATAAATATCTGTTAGCTCCACTTGGACTAAAGTATAGTTTAAGTCCAAAGTTTCCTTCTTGATTTTTCATCTAGCTGATCTGTCCAATGTTAAAAGTGGAGTATAGAAGTCTCCTACTCTTAGTTTATTGCAGTCTATCTCTCTCCTTTAAGATTTATTAATATTTCCCCTATATATCTAGGTACTTTGAATGTTGGGTGCATATACATTTACATTTGTAATAATTTCTTGATGAATTAATCCCTTTATCATTAATTAGACTTTGTCTGTTTTTATAGTTGTTGACTTAAAGTCTATTTTGTGTTATAAATATAGCTACCTGTGCTTGTAGTTTCCTTTTGCATGGAATATCTTTTCCCATCCCTTCCTTTTCAGTCTATGTGTGTCCTTAGAAATAAAATGAGTCTCTTATCGGCAGTATATAGTGTTTTTTTAAAAATCCGTTCAGCCCTGTCTTTTGACTACAGAACATAATCAATTTACATTTAAAGTAGTTAATGATGGGTTAGAATTTACTACCATCATTTTGTTAATTGTTTAGTGGTTATTTTGTAGGTTCTTTGTTCTTTTCTTTTTCTCTAGCTCTCTTTGTGATTAGGTGATTTCCCGTAGTGATATGCTTTGATTTCTTCTTTTTTATGTTTTATATATCTACTACAGGTTTTGCCTTGTGGTTACCCCAAGGCTTACATTCATCTCCAGTATGATGAATATTTTCCTTTCTCAAAGGCTTTACCTGATAAAGTTCTGACTAGGACTCATGGCCCACTATAGTATGGACATGAGTTGTTTTTCAAGGAAGGTAAAGAAATTTTACTAATCTATATTAAATCAGCCATTTTAAAAATCCAATCAACAGTTAATTTAACAACATTCATGGATGCGACTGGGAAGCAGGGAAAAGGTGGGGAAATGGAAAATGAAAAAAAGACTTAGAGTCAAAAGACAGAAAAGAGAGAGAAAAAATAAAATTGTATAGGGAAATACTGAGATCACTGATAAGCTGGCACCTGTCGCTTCAGCATCCTAAAACTGACTATTCCTGAGACAGCCCCCGAATGCCCTCTGGTGGCGGGTATTACATCCTTCCACGCCATCATACTAATAACAGCAGCTGTGTGACTGCATAGGTTTCAGTCCCATAAAGTCAGCCCTATACTATACCGGGGTACAATGTAAAGCAAAAACAGACGCCGGCCCTGCCTTCACGAAGGAGGGGGTCTCAGGAAAGAGGTTACGCGCCCACAAATGGAAACAGGTCGATTAAAACCATGAAAGAGAGGAGAGAGGGTTTCTGTGAGGGAGACGAAGCTTCATTAACAACCTGGCAATCAAGAACGGGAAACACATTCCAGGTGGAGGGACCAACACCTTTTAACCTACGTTGTCAGGTAACAGGGATCCTGTGTCCTCACGCTTGGTAAGGAATCTCCTAGTGAGGAAGGAAAGGAAAATGAATCAAAGTCGCGGGGGTGGGGGGCGGTGGCGGGATAGTGAGGGGATCTTTGGCTTTCATTTTAGGAGGCAGGGCCTGCCACCTTCGACCACCTGAGATCCTAGGGCAGGCGCGAAAACCTTGGCGCAGCCAATACGTCTTCCCTTGATGTTCTCGCGAGGCCCCCACGCGCTCGGAATGCCACAGGTTTGTGCGCACGGCTCAGCTTGGCGCAGGCGCAGACAGGACTTTGGTCAGGCCGACCGCCATTGCACAACGCGGAGGACTCGCTTGGCATCGCAGGGATGCTGCGGCTCCTCTGCTTATGCCTGCTGTGGCTTGGACTCTTGCTGGTTAGGTTTTCTGGTGAACCGAGCGACATCAGTAGTGCTAGGAAGCTGTGCGGCAGGTACTTGGTGAAAGAAATAGAAAACCAATGTGGCCACGCCAACTGGAGCCAGTTCCGTTCTGAGGAGGAAACCCCTTTCACACGGTTGATTCCACAGGCCTCGGAGAAGGTCGAAGCTTTCGTCCCTGACCAGCTCGAAAGCCCCCAAACCACTTTTCCGGTCTGGAGTAGAGGCACAAATCCAGGTAAAAATCTGAACTGAAGTTATGTTTGTTCACATCTTATTTCTGCATTTGCTCTGCCACAAGGTAAGCTTCCCCAGGAAGTGGAACTTCTGCCTAGTACACAGCTTTTAAAAAGATTGTAAAAAAGCAGTGTAATGAAAATATACAAAACTTCAGTGAAGCACTTGTTTTTTTTAAAACTTAGAGGAGCTTAAGTGGAAATAAGTGTACATCTGTAAGTCTACATATTTATGTAAGAATGTTGTTCCTTTCTAGAGTGCCCTTGTCATCTGGCAGACTCCGTTTTGACCTTCAAAGTCCACCCTAAATATCATTTTCCCTGTGAAGTCATTATTGACCTTTTCATAGCCAATAGCTACGTTGTCCTTTCTGTCACAGTATCTAGCACATAGTTCTATTAACTATCGTCACTGGCTACAGATTCAGCCCAACTTTGTACAAGATAAAAATGCAGAGTACCTTGTTCAAAAAAGCAGGAAAGGGCAATTAAAATGAAGGTAACAAAATATAAAGCTTTTTTCCTTTCTTGTTCGTATCCCCTGCTGACGTACCAGAAGATAGGCCTGGTCCATTCTCCTATCAGGCTTCATTTAAAAGTTCACGTACTTGTACTTAATTCACTTACAGTTTCAAAGGTGAATTTATTGAGAATTTCGACTACAATAGAACATTTAAACCAAATGCAAGGCCTGTGTGACTGCATCGGTTTCAGTCCCATAAAGTCAGCCCTGTATACCACACCGTGTTATAGGGACTATATAGGGACTATTTCATGCATATTTTTGTCTGAAATGCCTAGCAGATGGCCTAGCACATAGCATGCGTATATTGTGTTGAATTTATAGTTAATACTTTCAAGCAGTCTGCAGGAAGAATATTCTTGTTTCATACTCATTGGTATAATTTTACATGTTCATTGGTATGGTTTTACATTTTGTGACTAACACATTTTAGTCCCAATATGATTTGCCATTTTAAAAGAAATTGCACTTTGTTTATAGCGTATCCATAGGAAGAAAACTATTGCCTTTTACAGTAATTCAGTTGATTTGATTTGGACAAATCTTGCAAAAGTGAAGATTTCTGAAATTAAAGAAATGAGTAAACTATCATGCCAAAAAGAGACCCTAATGTAGAGTACTGAAAAAAGTCAAACAGCTCACATTGTAGGCACTCATTAACTTTTTTGGAATGAATTAATGGAATTTATAAAATCACTGTTGCTAAGAGAATGAAAACTTTTAAAGACAGAAACCCTGAGCCTGTGATTCTTGATCATTTTCAAATCAACCCACATACAAACCTCATCTTGTCCTAATCTTACAATGAAGGAAGTGTCTCTCACAGTCTTCTACTTGTGCTTTAGTTCAGTGACTTTCACACTTTAATGTGCATATGAATCACTTGGGAATCCTGTTAACTTGCAGACTCTGAGTTGATAGGCCCCTGGGGTGGGGCCTGAGATTTTTCATTTTTAACGAGCTCCCAGGTGATGCTGATGCTGCTAGTTGGTGGCCCACACTTCTGAGTAACAAGATCCAGTTTACTGTCTTTTTTTTTTTTTTTTGAGACCGAGTCTCACTCTGTAGCCCAGGCTGGAGTACAGTGGCGCTATCTCTGCTCACTGCAACCTCTGCCTCCGGAGTTCTGGTGATTCCCCTGCCTCAGCCTCCTGAGTAGCTGGGATTACAGGCACATGCCACCACACCTGGCTAATTTTTGTATTTTTAGTAAAGACAGGGTTTCACCATGTTGGCCAGGCTGGTCTCAAACTCCTGACCTCACAATCTGTCCTCCTTGGCCTCCCACAGTGCTGGGATTACAGGCGTGAGCCACCACTCCTGGCCCATGTCTCTCTTTTTAAACTCCTCTTTCTTACTCTTTTCTCCCGGGAGTGCAAGGAGAGCCTTCCCTTTCTGCTTCATATTGGGTGGGCATTTCTCTCACATCAAATACTGTGCCCTCACTACCTATGCTATAATACTGCAGTCAAAATTTTGTTTTCAGACCTCCAAGCTTGAGGTTGTTAAAGAAAGGTTGGAATGCCTTTTCTCAAAATCTGCTCTAAGGACAATTTCCTTAATAAAAATGTTGAACCTTAAAACTCAGCTGATTAATGATTCCTTTGTTGTAGGTATTATTCACATTCCCCTGGAAGAATAAATGTCATTAATTCAATGAGCAGGGAGCTGCAATGAAGCAAGACTTATAGAAAATAAAAATATGTCTGACAATATTTGAAAGTTATTATACCACAAAACCTGTTACTAGGGAAACTAAAGGACAGCTTGCTGAAGTGGAAATAATATGTAGCACTAAAACCACAGTTATATTGAAATATGTAGAGGATGGAAAAATCGATTAGGTTATCAATATGCATTGTATTATGATTTTTAAAATTATTAATCTCTAAGGGAAGATGACATTTATTCTGTCCTGTTAATTTCTGGGAAATAATTTAGAAGTTGCAGAGATGTATGTATTTCTAATATAGAATGCATAATTATGTCATTTTTATATACGAATGTGGCTGAAAAGTTGATAACTTTTTATTTCACTTTTGCCAACAGGACAAGTTGTGTTAGATCAAGTCAGTTATCTGAAATGTTAATATCCTGATGATCTAGTTGAGTCTGACACAGAAAAATATAATTTGGTACACTGCTGTTAAAAAGTGCCATTTTTCAAAGTTATTCATACATAACTTGAGTCTATAATTATGTGCTTCTTGTTAACGGATCCTGAAGGTGTAGGCAGTATCACCAAGACCTACCCCAGAATGTGGCAAGATGAAGTTGACATCATATTTCCAAATTATGACTTAATATTGTGCTTCCCAGATATTAGTGCCAGGTGAAATCATTAATGTTTCAAAATCAGCTTTTCATAATCCATAACCCCTATTCCAGTTAGATTAATCATATTCCCATATTCTTGGTCTTCATTTCACATATTGTTGTGTTTTTGTTTATTTGTTTATGTTTCAGATATCATCATAGCTAGTCTGTAAAGGGCCTTTCTCTTTATACATTAGTTCAACAAATTTTGAGTACCTGTTATGTGTTAGTCATTCTTCTTGGTGCTTGGGATGTCAGAGTAAACAATGAAGGTTCCTACTCTCATGAAGTGTACAGAATAGTAAACAAACATAAGTAAATTATAATTTACAGAAGATGATTGTCCTCACTATTCCCCTTTCTCCACTCCCATTCTCTTCCTCTCATAGGCAGTTGTTATAATGTGTTTATTAGATATTTTTTGTATAAGTTTTTGCAAATTATGCATTCTTTCCTGTGCATATGTTTTTAAGATATATCTAAATGGCATTTAAGATCTGTATCTTATTGTTGGAATGTGAACATTTAGTCCATTGCTTCTAACTACTGCATAATATTCATGTACATTCCTCACATTTTACTGATTTCTTCAGTTATGAACACATAAACTATATAGCCTTGAACTGCTGCCATTGTAAATAATACTGCCATGAACATCATTGTATGTGTCCCCTTGTGGACCTGGAATTGTTTCTGGGATACACACCTGAAGTGGAATTGCTGTGTCATGAAGTATGTGTATGTTTAATTTGCTTGAAGAGTGACAGATTACTCTTTAGAATGACTATACCAATCCTATGTCCTCATATCTATGCCAGCAATTAGCATTATACAGTTACTAACTTTCACCAGGGTAATAGATGTAAAATGGCATTGTATTTTTATTTTAACTTGCTTTGTGTCTGAACACCTTTTCATATATATATCAGCCTTTTGGATTTTCTCTTAAAATTTCCTGTTTATGTATTTTGCCCAGTTCTTGTTGGAATTGTTATTTTCCAATTGATTTGTAGGAGTTAATGAAATATAGATACAATAATAACTAGTTGTTGGTTTTAGGTGTCACAAATATGTTCTCCCATTTTGACATCTGTCTATTGATGTTGCTTGACAGAAAGCCTTTACTTTTCTAATTAGTTTCTAAGTGTTTTGCCTTACGTATTAGAGGTCCTCTTCTGTACCTCTGTTAACTTTACAGTTTTACTTTTCACATTAAGTCCTTAATTATTCTTAGGCCAATTTTTAATTCTTGTCTAGGGAGGAATATTATCTCAGTTTCTCAATAAGTCTTATTTTTCTCTACATAGGGAGCTAGTTTTCTGAACCCTTTCTACTAATTGTTTTTCTCACTAATTTGTGGGATAACCTTTATTGATAAGTTTGAGCTTCCTATTTTATTTAATTGCTCATTTATTTGACCTTGTATCGTTACAGTTTTTGATACTATCACTCTCTAGGGTTTATCTGGCAGGACAAGTCTTCAGTGTTTATTTTTTTCCCTCTAAGATTGACTAAGCTAATCTTCAACCTTTATTCTTTCATATATATTTAAAAGTATGCTTATTGAACTTCTTTTTTAAAAATCCACATGGAATTTTAATTGGGATGCATGGAATATATACATTAATCTGAAGAGGACTGACATCTTTTTTTCCTTCAACTTTTAAGTTCAGGGGTACATGTGTGAGCTATGCAAGTTTGTTACATAGGTAAATGTGTGCCATGGTGGTTTGCTGCACAGATCATCCTATCACCTAGGTATTAAGCCCAGCATCCATTAGCTTTTCCTCCTGATACTCTCCCTTCCTCCAGGCCCTCTGTCTGGCAGGCCCCAACGTGTGTTGTTTCTCTGCATGTGTCCATGTGTTCTCATCATTCAGCTCCCACTTATAAGTGAGAACATATGGTATTTGGTTTTCCATTCCTGCATTAGTTTGCTGAGGATGATGGTTTCCAACTCCATCCATGTCCCTGCAAAGGACATGATCTCATTCTTTTTTATGGCTACATAGTATTCCATGGTGTATATGTACCAAATTTTCTTATCCAGTCTATCATTGGTGGGCATTTAGGTTGATTCCATGACTTTGTTATTGTCAATAGTGCTGCAGTGAACATATGCTTGCATGTATCTTTATAATAGAATGATTTACATTCCTTTGG